GGGGGGGGGGGGGGGGGGGGGGGGGGGGGGGGGGGGGGGGGGGGGGGGGAGTCAAACGGCAAGGAGACCATCGATCCAACTGCTGTGACACGCGATAGCCCTGTCACAACGCTGATGAAAAAACGAGCAGCCTGGCCAGAAAAACATCCTTCCGAAAGTAGGGGCGGCGCAGACAGACCAAACCGGCATGCCTCAATCAGAACAACCTTGCTCTCATCTCTGTGCGTCGATGTATCCCTCCATTGCGACTCTTAGCCCTCTCGGCCTAGCATCTACGCGCCATCGCCGGGGCAGCACTTCTACCCGATGACCCGTCATTTGGCTCATCGCCCTTCTGCTCCAGTCCTCATCGACGACCAATCGTCGACTCTATCCCTCTCCTCGAACCGCAACAATTACCAAAACCAACCAATCCTCAAAATGAAAGGGCTTCGCTGTTCTCCTCCTTCATAGACCACCAAAACTCCGACTCAAAAAAATGAAAAGGCTTGTAGTCCTCTCACCCTCCTGAACCACCCAAACTTAAAAAAAAAAAACTTCTTTCATTCCTTTTTTTTTTTCTCTTCTCTCACCCTTCTGGTCCAGCATCTTGTCACACTCATCGAGGACGAAGTACTGCAGCTTGTCCACCTTCAGGTCTCCCTCCCGCACCAGTTGCATCACGCGCCCGGGGCAGCCAACCACGATGTGCGGAGTGTCGTTCTTGAGCATCTCGCGCTGCTTCTGCACGGGCAGGCCGCCGTACAGCACCGCCACCTTCACCTCGGGGAGGTGCTTGCAGAAACGCTCGTACTCGCGGGCGATCTGCCACGCCAGCTCGCGCGTGTGGCACAGCACCAGGCAGCTCACCTGTGTTTTGAAGCGACGCCGGAGAAGAGGACGGGAATGGTGGCGGTGGGAACGGGATGATGATTATCGTATACCACCACATATGGAGGGCTGGGGTGGCATGTACATCGATGGAGCTTGTTGGCGTTTGATCGAGCAAGCCGTGTGCGTGTACGAGGTCGCCATGTTTCTGTGCATCAACCATACACCATAGCCTGGAGAGACCTCGAAAGAGTGAGAGCATGTCCAAAAGTGATGGCAAACATGTGTTGCAGCCATTGACCAAATTTTAAAAAATGTCACCGCGCAAACAGCCAGCCGGCCGTTGGCTGCAGGGTGCCCAGCAGGCACGCTCACCGTCGGTTCGGTCAGTGGACACAGCAGGGGAAACCCAGGTGAGCTTCACCAAAGAAGAACTCTCCTCCTCTCTCTCTCTCTCTCTCTCTCTTTTATCTGTCTGTCTGTCTGTCTCACCTCTCCGGGCTGGGGGTTGAGCTGGTGGAGGGTGGCCAGCACAAACACCGCCGTCTTTCCCATACCGGACTTGGCCTGGCACACGATGTCCACACCCAGGATGGCCTGGAGTGTATCGAAACGATTGCCAACGAGGGCCCGCCAACGGACCAAGGGGGGCGTTGTCGTGTCAGGCAAGAGGCACAAGCAGGTCGTTCGATCAGACAACACCGGCGGGTAAGACCCGGCATTTCCCCACTCTGGCAAAATCCATGGCAACACCAACACCCATCCTCCCGCCCGCGTGATCCAAAGCATGCATGAACGAACGGCCAACACGGGGTTTCGCCGAGACATACATACACACGCACAATCATATGTACCACCTGCCATTGGGCATGACGAAGAGGATTAAAACATGGCATTGCAACGACACATGCCATACACACGCACAACCATGCACGATGGCACTGCAAAGCGGCATACATTACACCCGTGCAACAAGGCAAACACGCTTGAATATGACACCGACCACGAGACGTACCATACCCCCGCACGACCAACAAACAAACTCGCCGCAGCCGCCGCACCTGAGGGATGCACTCGTGCTGCACCTCGGACGGGTGCTCGAAACCGCAGTCCACCACCGCGCGGAGAAGCTCGGGCTTGAGAAGGAAGTCCCTGAAGCCGGAGGCGTGGATGCCCACGTAGTGCCCCTTCTTCGGCCCGCTGCCGCCGCCGCCGGCCGCCCCCGCGCCGTCCTTGCCGCCGGCCCCGGCGTCGTCCCCGGCCTTGGCGTCCACCAACGCCTCCTCGTCTTCCTCGTAGTCGAGGAGCTCCTCCTGACCCTTGTTGTCTTCGGTAGCCATGATTGTTGAGGTTTGTGTATGTCTCTCTCTCTGGCTTTAGGTTTGTGTGTTGGCGCTCCTGTTGGTTTTATTAGCGCTTTAAAGGCATGGGGGGTAAGAAGAGCAAAATGGAGTTCCAGCGTCGGGAGACGGGGGCAAACGAAACGGGCGGCGGGGGCAGAAAAGAACGGAAAGGATGGACACGTTGAGGGAGGGCAAAAAAAAGGAGTGGAGAAGGTCAAGTCAGGATGCGCACAGCAGCGGATAAAATAGCTTTTGCGTGGCGTGATATGGAATGGCCTGTCATGGGAGGAATATGTAGCATCTGCGTGTTTCACCTACTTTTCAAACGGGTAAGCAGTAACCTAGGTTTTCAACCATTTTCGTAAGCGAGGGTGATGCGCAGCAGCAGCCCCCCGGCCGGGCTTATTTCTCTTGCCCCAATTTCAGCTAGGGTGTCCCAAAGTCGAACGACAGGTTGTCGGAAATCTGTCAACTAGGTGCCCGCGATTTGAAGCGGCCAGGCGCGCGAGGGGGTGGGGGCGCGCTGCACAGCAGGGACGGCGGCTCAAGGCAACGTATCGCCCCCCCCCGCGAAGAGTGCGTCTCTCCCGTGCAAAAACTACGCGGCGATGCAAGATGCAGAGTATACCAACAAGGAGGGCGCTGCAGCTGCTAGGATGCGTGGCGTGGCCAACACTGAATAGCGGGAGCGCCTGCAAAATCGCGCTCTTGTTCGTCAGCAGCGACATACAGCAGTACTTCAGATATACGTTGGAATCGAGCGAGATTGCTTCCTCAGCAGGTCATCAGCAAGCAGGATGAGAGACAAGATCGAAGAGAGACTGAAAAATCTTGCAAAAAGAGAAAAAAAGCTCCATCGAACCCAACATCAAGAGGGGAGCAAGGATATCGGGGAGAGAGTTAAGAGCACGCAAGCAAATAAGATAATCACTGGCTCGTACGTCCTGGGGTGTAAAGTCCGCCAGTCACGGACGATTTCAATGCACACGAGAGCTGTTTCGAATCTGGCACGGATGGGTCTTTCCGGCGACCGCCGGCCACAGACAGATGCCCCATTTCCACAGACTCCCGACACAAGGAAGGCCTTGACAAACCAAGGATATTTTACTCAGGATTGGCGAAAGTTCGAACACAACAGCGAGATCAACACCACCCATGACCAGGTGGCGTCCCCTTGTCTCCACGACGGGCTTGTTTCCTAGCCGCCCCGCAACAGCTGAGTCCTTTACCAAACGAATATGAAGGCCTCTCCCACCACGCCCACGTCAAACAAAACAAAAAAAACGCGCGCTCGATCTTGGTGAAAATAACAAGGCTGATGACGTCTTGCGACCACCCTGCCCACCAGAGAGCATAGGCAATGCATCGCGGTTGATGTCGTCCTTCTCTCACCTGCCAGGATTGTTGGGGCACGGCGTGTATCGATGATCCGCCACGGCAGCAGGCCCGCCGCCCACGCAAGTTTCGAGGGGAGCCGCGAATAAAACGTAATTCTAGGGGTATGGAAACCGTTGGGAAAAATCGATAAATATAGGAGTGGGGGGTAGGGCGGTGAATAAGCGGCAGGACAGCAACATGACTAGTCAAGCGCCCTGCACACCTTGATCATGATGCGACGACGCGTGCCTGTCGGCAGCGTGCTGCTGGTAGTATGCGTGGCGGTGGGTGGTGGCGGCGATAGCGGCAGCGGTGACGGGCATCGTACCGTAGTCACGGGGTTCTCGGCCCCTCCTCAACCTTCAACCGCGGCGTGGGGACGACAACAGTCAAGGACACGTGCAACCAGCGCCACAGGCACCGCAACAATGCAGTGTGGACTGGCAGCAGCTTCCACCCGGCGGCATCGGCGGAGACACCGCTGTGGTTCTTTTGCTGCTGGCGGGCTCGGTTGCGGCGATGGCGAAGCGCAAGCGAAAACAAGCTCAGCAGCAGAGGTTTCTGCTGCGGTGGTACCTGGCGTTCTCCGACGAATGTCACCATCTCGACGTTCAACAGCAGCAGCAGCGGTGGCACCACTTGGTGCCCGCCCGCCCACTACGGAGGAGATGGACGCGGAGTGGGAGGGGATCCTCTCTGGCGATGACGAGCAAGAGGATGTGGATGAAGGCGACGAAGACGATGATGCGACCGCGATGCTCAGCGACGAAGAGCTGCTTGCGACGGACGCCAGCGTGGGCGGCCTGTTGGGCGACGAGGGGGAGGAGGAGCAGGACGAGCAGGAGGAAGAGGGTGTTGGGCGGGGCCGAGGGCGGAAGCCGCGCGTCTGGTACGACAGCTACAAGGCGCGCATGAAGGCAGAGAAAGCGAAGGAGGCCGCCTGGCAGGAGAAGCGGAAGACTTTCTCGAAGGCGCACAACGACTACCTGGACGAGGCTCAGCGCAACAGGGAGATCGCGGCCGCAAGGTGACCCCAAGCTCTCAGCCCAGGGGGGTTACACCAGGAGGTCCGCTCGATTGGGTAGTATGCATACTGGGAGTATTTTATGTAACAGTACATAGCCGTGCTCTCTATCGGCGGCTAGTGCATCCAAAAGGGTAAATTTGTGTACGAAATGCGGTCGTTCCTCGACGTTCTTTGTCTCCTTTACGGTGGTCTGAGTTTGCCTGCCGCAGCGCTGTTTGCCCCCTGGCGTCGAATGCTTGGTTGGTTGATTGGGGCTGGCTTGTAGACGGGGCCCTGCCTGATTGTTCTCCACAAGACTGCTGTAGATCATGCGATTGATTTCAGCAGTGGCAAGGGGGCAGCGCACGCCTACCCACTCGTTGTCTGTAGCGTTTCTCACCCGTTTTGACGCACGGGTTCGAGGAGGGTACTGCTGGAAGGTCGTGGACGTGTAGCGTCGCATGGACCGCGTTGGCAACACAGGGCAATTTCACTCGATCTCTTAAGCTCTAAAAGTACTCCATCACCCCCCTGGGATCAGAGAACGATACGCTCTCAATGACGATAAGCGAGTTTGGCACTCCCACACACCGCTCGACAGTTACGGGTGAGTCGCGGAATCGCTCCCATCGGATGTGCGTTCAGCGTGGGACTCACCTCGCCCTACGACTCATCAACCTGGCCGTTCCGTTGAAACGTGAAACTGAACGCGGGATGACGAACAACCGTTACACAGGCGGGAGAAGTACACGAAGAAGTTCTACCGCGACAAGAAGATCTACGACATCGTTAAGGAGAGGGGCAGGAAGGCGGTCAGGGAGGCGACCTGGGCCACTAGGTGAGGAGAGACAACACAGCACAGCGAGAGTGCTTGCGGTGATAAATTGTTTGACCATGGGTTTGGGCTTGCCGGCAGAGGGATCCCATCAGTCTGACCGAACTCTCAAGTTAACACCCAGGAGCCCCAGGTTTGACGGGAGTAGACCATGCAACCATTATACAAGCTGGTCGGGCGCTTGTGTCTGCTGCACTTTAGGCTCCCCGTCGTCGCAGAGTCGTCGTGGAGCCGGACGAACATTCGCCATGACGAAGCGCTCGACCTGGCGTACCGCAGCGGCGTGCCGTGATACCAGCTCCACTGCGGGTGTTCCATGGTGCAGCAGACTCGTTCCCTAGTGACCGCCCCCCGCTCGTCCTGGCGGCTCACTCCCTGCTCCTCCTGTCTGTGGGGGCGCTTGGTGCCGGCGCAACATTTTTAAAACATGACAAGCCACTTCGCCCGGTCGCCTCGTCCTTTGTCCCTTCTGCTCTGCGGGCGCGCACGGCGTGCGATTCGATGCGATTCGACCCGCTGCCGTTTCGGACTTTGCTTCGTTTGCAGGTGGCCGCGACAGGTCACTCGGAAGCTGGAGGACCTTCAAGAGGGCGAATGGATCACGGGCAAGGTCCGCAACGTCGAGAGGTGGGAAAACGGCTCGCGGTCCGATCCACGGCACGGTCGCGGTGGTGTGGATGTTGAAGATTGTCGCGCTGCTGTTGTGCAGCCGTCTCCTTTGATGTTGTGATTCTTGGAGTGCCGAGGTCCGTCTTTCGGTGTTGCACGGGGGTAAACGGGCTTGTGGTACAGTATGTGAACCCGCGTAGCGACGCAGGACCGAGCGCGTCAATATCTTAACTTAGGTACCGTAGGTGGTGCGACACAAGATATCACACCCCCTGGACCGATTTTCAGAGATCGATAACTCCAAGGCAGAAAGGGTGGCAGTACCGAAAATGGCGACGTTGAACCGCCTCGTCGAGAGCTTTCCGAAAACGCATCGGTTAATATGTACTTTCTCTTCGTGGTAAGAGGAATCGAGCTTTGCAAATTGGTCGACGGGGTGTGACATTTATCTCGTGACACGCACGGTATGCATGTCGAAATCCACCAATCCATAACCGTCTTTGCCGTCCTCCTACCTGTGTGCCGGACCAACTTGAACGCCGCGGGTCGCCGCCTCCATCCGCAACCACCGGCGAATCACGACGGCGCCTTACCCATGAACAACGACGACGAATACGATGGCATCAACTCTCTGCCGACGCACAACTGCGACGGCAACCCCCCCCCCCCCC